GAACTTTGGCATATATCAAACACAACACAGAAAAACTAACAATGGGTGGACAAAGTGAAAGACAAGGCAAAAAACACTAGCAGCACATGTCAATTATGAAGCGGTATATCGCCGTCGTTGTGCAGCCTGGTGAACAGTATGAAATATTGTCACATAAGTTTTTCTCCAAAATAAAAACTGGAAGAAAATATAGGCGAAGAAAAAGGAAAGAAAAGAAATGTGTAAGCTCATATCAGTTGCCGAACAGGAAAGCGCCGTCGAGGTGCAGTGGTTAGTCAGCAGCACAAAACCTCGCAGGAATTTCAGGCAAAGCGAGGCAGCGAAAGCAATAAATTTTATCGAATGCTGAGTGCATTACGACTTCAGTCACTGAATCCCCACCATGCACCGCAGGATGAATTGAAACGACCTGCGTGGAATGATATAGTATGCTTGTGTTACAATAAAAATAAAATTCGTGTCTCTAGGGCTGTAATTTTAGTTGTGAACGATTGCAGGGGGACTGACCGGTCTGTTGAACTTTTACTGCTAGGTACACACGAGTTTACGGGTATTTATTTATTTATTTATTTATTTATTTATTTATTTATTTATTTATTTATTTATTTATTTATTTCAAACGCTTGAAAAGTATTACGTGATTACTAAACTTACGTCCGTATACAGAGTAATCATCCGCTGGTTCTCGTTAAGAGGTTAAGACCAATCCACCTAGCAATTACACTAACTACAATCAAATATCTTTTAAATTACAAAATTTGTGGCAGATGTTGACATCGAAAAGATAAAAGAACATGGTATTAAAGTCTCTTTATGGCAGTATACGTCAAAAATTGGCCATGCAGACTGGAATGACTGGAGCGCTGGTAAGTTTTTATTGTCTGAACCATCACTGCAAATAAAGCACCTTAATTGGTTTCCACCTTTTCGTAAAGCCACTTCTTATTTCTGTAATTGATATTGTCACGGGTTCGTGCGGTGGACGAAGGGAGCAGACTGCAGGTAGAAGATGAAACTGTTTATTTGGGCCGAACTTGTGGTCACGTAAAAGGAAAGTCAGGCTACAGCAATACCAACTGACACTGATAGCGCCGAACAGAGCGTCGGCCGTCGATCAACTGACAAGCGGAGAGGCGCGTCGACATTTATACACGTGTCATCGAATATTCTAGCGTTATTGTTAGCGGTGACGTAGGTTACAGAATAATCTGCAATGTTCGCGAAGTGGGCGTATTCTTAACAAAGTGGCCTATACTGCAGTCCTGAAGCTTCTCGAACACTGCAGGCGCGGTTTGCGCTGAGAAATACTTACAGTTCAACGGGGCGATAATAAAACTTGAGCAAGGAACGTGACAATATATTTGCAACACAGGACTTTCTTAATGCGTTCAAGATTATTTTTAACGAATGAACTGCGCACGTGAAAAAGAAAGAGTATAAATTACGAAACGACTACGATGCTAGTTGGAATACGTGCCTGCCCAAACGGCGCCTATAGAGAAGAAAATTTACAGCACTTCCTACGAAAAAGCAGTCGAGAACTACTGCGACAGAAAACATCGCCTAGCTTCTACTTTTTTTTTTCTACAGCAACGACGAAGGCTTAATGTGCCTGCATTCATAGAACGGCGCAGAGGGCACAGCGAAAATCTGGAGTGAAAGCAAACTAGGAAAAAGTGGTCAAGGTGGCTTGCTGTAATTCCTTTGCTTTGCTGCCCTACATTTGGAGCAGAAGAGAGAGAGAGAGAATCAAAAAGAGAACACATAAGTTTAGCGCTTTCATAAGGATATCATCTTTGTCTGAAAGTCCAGCAATTAATTTGTTTGTCTATGTGCACCGAAGGCCCCGCCGCGGTGGTCTAGTGGCTAAGGTACTCGACTGCTTACCCGCAGGTCGCGGGATCGAATCCTGGCTGCGGCGGCTGCATTTCCAATGCAGGCAGAAATTTTGTGGTCCCGCGTGCTCAGATTTGGGTGCACGTTAAAGAACCTCAAAAGGTCGAAATTTCCGGAGCCCTCCACTACGGCGTCTCTCATAATCATATGGTGGTTTTGGGACGTTAAACCCCACGTATCAATCAATTTGTGCACCGAATAAAGATATAGTACTACTAATGAACTGTGAAGCCAGTATAACAGAATACTTTCATCTGTAAGACGCCGATCTTCCATAAATCTCTGGGCACACTAAAGATGTTGGCGGTAACAACTTTGTTATCAACTTCCGCTAATTCGTGGCCTAGGCCATCCCCGAGGAGGACCGGAGACCCTGTCTCCTCGACGCCCCACGGGCTTGCTGGGTGGCCCACAGTTGATCCTGGAGATTGGAGCTGTTCAGTGCGGCCGTCCAACGCGCCATAGCTTCATCTGGGAAGACTGCATTTTGTTCTGCTAAAATTGCACATTGCCAGAGAATGTGCTTAAGTGATTGCGTAAGTAAAGCCGCACAATTTGCAAGTATACGATCATTGATCAGAATAGACGTCTGGATTTATCATCCTGGAATGACTGGGTTTGGGGAAGGTCTGGGTTTGTGATTGTCTGCAATCTACCGTTTCGGGTCTTGGAGTTTGGGGCTTGGCGGTGAGTATACGCCTAGATTTTTAATAAAAAGTTTGTGATGTCACAGTATCGGGTCATTCTATATCTATTTGTCTAGCCAGGCATTTGTACGTGGGCGCGGAACGTGAGACCTCGCGCTACGCGATGGACCTCCCCTTTGAGGTTGGGAACGGGGGTGCGGGTGGACGTTTTAGCCGAGAACCATATAATATGTCGTTCTCTCCCTACGGAGGTTATAGAGTTTGCGTTCGCGTTGAGGATAGCCGCGGCCTCTGGCGAAATTCTGCCTTGTGCATAATTGTGACCGCTGTTTGCGAATAACGTAGGGTATATCGGCTATTCGGGCAAACTTTGGCTATGGCTATCACCACATATTCCGCTACCTCAGCGTATCTGCTACGTACACTAGATGAGATGACCAATTGTTTTTCAGTATTGAGGACTGCTGCTGCGAAGGCACGTTGATCCACATATTCTGCCACTCTACGAACAGCGCTTTCTTGTCTTTACCAAATGCTTGTAGTGAAGACCTGGCTCTACCCTCTCTTCGACCCTGATTTAGTTCTGGGTGCATGTTCTTGGGTATGTTAGCCACACGGAGCTTTTCTCTGATGGGGCTGGGGAGGGAGTTTTTTGTCGCCGTGCATCTTGCGATAGGCTACCCCAAGTTTGTCCAGAATGTTTCTACCCGTTCGTATCTTGGTAAGTCTCTTTAGTTGCAAGATTTGTTGTGCTTTTCTTCAAGCGTATTGTGCACGCCCGGATGTAGTAGAAGTTCTGTGCTTGAGCCATCTGGAAGTCCCAGTAATATCTTGTGTGTTCTCCTAATGAGGATGTTTAGCTTAGTCTTTGCAGCAGTGTACCAATTGTGGTAGTCGGCCACGTATGTAATGTGACTAATCGTGAAGGAATGAATGAGTCTTACAACACTGGCCTCTTTCATGTTCTGATGTCTGTTGATGATTATTCCAATGAACCTCATCGCGTTAATGACCTTAGTATCCAAATTCATTATCACTGCATCGTTGGGCCCGTTTGATTCTATTATGAGTCCGAGCACTTTAATCTGCTTAAATCTATAGGAATTCCTGGCCCTTATTTGGTGCGTACGCGAATTTTTTCGTACTCTGCGTGTCAGATGGAGATCTCGGGGGGGTCTTCCCTTGAGCGTCGAGTGGTATAGGAGAAGTTCAGATTTTTCTGACGAGCAGACAAGACCAGTACCTACAAGGTGCCTTTCCACTACTTCCACCGCAGTTTGTAGCCGCTGCTCGATGTCGCCGTCACTTCCCTCGCATACCCAAATCGTAATGGCATGATTCACTCCCTTTAAGGCGTTTGGGCGACCGGGGAGGCCTACCATAACGAGATTGAAGAGCATCGGCGAGATGACGGAGTATTGTGGGGTACCAACGCTGCTAATGGTGCTGTCTTAAAATGTGTTTGTCCAGTGTTAAGGGGGCACTTTTGTTTGCGAGAAAATCATTCATGTAGTTGTGTGCTCGGTTGCCTGAATCTAGTTTGGCTATCTTGCGTAGTGTGGCTGCGTGAGCTACAGTGTCAAAGTTTTCTTGAGGTCTAATCCTAGGATGGCCCTAGTGTCTCTCGTCTTGTTGTCAAGTATCTGGTGTTTGATTTGCAACATTGCATTCTGCGTGGAGATATGAGCTTGAAACCAGAGCATGATGTTCGGGTACGCTTTAATGTTGTCCAAATGTGCGTTGATACGACTGAGGAAGGCGTGTTCTATCAACATTCCGACGCACGAAGGGAGGGATATGGGGCGAAGCTTGGCAAGATTTGAGGGTTTTCCGGGCTTTGGGATGAGCACCACTTTTGCCTTTTCTATTGATCAGGTATGGAGTGTGGGGAAGTTTATTGCAAAGAGCGTCGCAGTAGATGATCGGTTTGGTATGGTATGAATAACTTTATTGTGGTCCTGAGGACCAGTCTGGGACCGCTCCCACATCGGAACAGAGGCCAAGCCCCTCTGCCACCACATGGGCCCTCTGGACAGCCCTGAGTTGGTCCGACAGCACGTCACTCTGCAGCATCCGGTGCCACAACTGTTCCCTGTGAGGAGCATCACTCGTCAATGCCGAGCAGCTGCACAACATACGGTCTGAATCGAGTGAACCCCCACACTTGCTACAATACACTCAACCCCCGCAGTCCGGATTAGTTTTATTCATGACGACCGGGTTAAAGGTGGTTAAGGTACGTCCACATTTGCAGAAGCCATAATATGACCACTTGTGGCCCGTTTAATCTAGAATTTGGCAAGGGGAATGGCCTGCGCCCTAGATAATAGTGCTTGGTGATCTCGTTGTAAGATAACAGCCCTAATCTAAGGAGTAAGAGGTTCAGCCTCCTCAGGAAATGCACAGCACACTAATGTTCGTGCCTCCCTGTGGTGGTGCTTTCGCGTTTGCTTTTAGCGTACACGGATGAAGAGGTCATTCCGATGAAACTACTGCACATAGTTTGTGGAGGCTACCCGGACCCACAGTCGGCACAGCAGAGGTGGCAGCTCCTGTCACCTGCAGGCACGCAAGGCCGGCATCAGTGTTCATGTCCAGCGCAGTGAGCGCACGGCACCACTATGGCAAAACTGACGTGTGCAAACTGTCTGCCACTAATTCGTGAAGTATGCAGCCACTGAACGTTTTCACCGCCAATTCCGCATCTGCTGCTCATAGCGCGTAGCTAACGAAGTGTAAACGCCTTCCAGTGGAAGTAATGGAAATAGTAGATGTGAAAGTTTCTGCTCTGCGTTGTCATAACGTGGTAAAAATTCTGAGAGTTAGTAACTTGCCATTTGTCCAGGGCTAACTCAGAGCAATTATGTAGCTTCGAATCACCTCAGCCGGTGAAAAAGTACGCAAAGGAGAACCGTTAAGAGCATTTTAATGTTATTTGGCAATTTGAACCACAGCGGTGGTGAACCGGCTAGAGAGTTTGTCTGAGCACGAAGTATTTGTGCTTGCTTTGTCTCAGCCCTATGGAGGTGGAATACCATAACTTGTTTTTATGTACGCCACAGATCTCCAGGAGGGTGGATTTGATTGGGCACCCTTTAATATGTCATTACGTAATAACAAAAAAGGGAAATTTAAGAACCCGTTTTTTATTCTTTTTTTTTTGGGGGGGGGGGGAGCAAAACGTTAAATAATAATATTATTACGTGAGGTTTAACGCCCCAAAACCACGATGTGATTATGAGAGACGCCGTAGTGGAGGGCTCCAGAAATTTTGACCACCTGCGATTGTTTAGCGTGCACCTAAATCTAACTACACTCATACATTTTCGCATCCATCGAAAATGCAGCCGCCGCAGCCGGAATTCGATCCCGTGGCCTTCGGGTTAACAGTCGAGTGCCATAACCACCACCGTGGCGGGGCAACTTTAAAGAATACCAACAGACAATCAAGCCTAATAAAAGTATTGTTGACTTTATTCGTAATTATTGTGACGCAAATGGGAATAAACTAAGGTGAACGAAAAGACTCTGCTGCCTGCAGGCACCGAGCCTACGATAATAGCGCGTCCTATGTTATACTAATTCAGCTTTTTGACAAATAAAAGCTTTTTGCTCACATCTGGAGTGTCGATTGATCAGGTGACTCCGAAGATGTGATCCGTAATCTTTCAGCAGTGCCAAGTGGAGCCTGTGCGAACACTCGCACTGACACTTAACGATTTAAAAAAAAGAGACCATGGCTCAAAAAAGCTTGTCATTCCGTCGACAAGCATGATGGAGTTGAAGGGTTTTTTTATTTTTTATTTATATTCATTTTGGCAGTGTTCTATTTTCGTATGACAATAACATTATTATTATTATTATTATTATTATTATTATTATTATTATTATTATTATTATTATTATTATTATTATTATTATTATTATTATTATTATTATTATTATTATTATTATTATTATTATTATTATTATTATTATTATTATATTATTATTATTATTATTATTATAAAAGTTTCAACATAAGGCTAGCCCAGGGATACGCAACTACACATCAATCCTTATGCTCATCGCAGTTTTTGGTCTCATGGCTTTGTCTTCAATAAATGAAGTGCGAATGAAGTGCACACACAGAAATTAGGCCTTTCTCTGTGTCCTAAGTGATTTAACGCATTGTTTAACAGGACACTCGGTCGCCACCCACTACCAACAACAGCATAGCTAGAGTACACCGCCGAGGCTTGGAACGCCATAGCCGAGTTGGTCGCCTCACTTTGCAGGAAAAACGCCTGAGCAGAAACCGGTGCGCGCCATGGGTCCCCAGGGGATGGCCCCGCAGATCACCAAGCAACCTGAGTCGCGTTCTGCCAAGCCAGGCCACAAGGTGGACTTCAAGGCGACTGCAACTGGTTCACCAGCGGTAAGTTTTAGCGGCCAGTTGAGATAGAACAGATTGTTTTTTTTATTCTCTCTTTTAATACGTTATTTTCTTCTACTGCATCAAAATAAGTTACATATCACAGATCAGTTACAGCTTCCTGCATAATTTCGACGATCTGGGGTCGAACGACAGAGCGGACTATAAGGTACACTTTCGGAGGTATCAAATGGCGGCGTGGACTCCTGCACGTGAACAGGACATGAAGCTTCGCGCACTGGCGCTAGGCTGAATGAACAGCTCGTCGGTGCAGCCCCAGTGGATTCAATATTTAATAGCTGCACTTTCATACACAGAGATACATTAAGCTCTTGACGAGCACCTATAAAATTTAGTTATGTGTCATCTTATAGATGTCGTGTTTTAGACGATTATGCCATGGGCATCAATACACTACTGTTTCAGCTGAATCGCTTATCTGCAAAGACCTTGTGTGAATGTTCAACAAAAACGAGAGAGAGAGCGCGATCCCACTACACAGTTATCACTGAGCGCAACTGAGTTTTGTATACCGGAAAATTCAAGACTCCATGCCGTGCATTCGCCGCCCAAAGCAACGGCGATTATACATGCGTGACGGTAAACGTAGGGAGTAGAGCCAGTAGAGTATATCACACAAGCGCCTAACACACTGTATTACCACATGTTTAAAGAAAATTGCTAGTCTGCACAAGAGCTATGTCATTATGCATCAAAACTTTTTTATGGCTTGTCATATACCCGCTATTTATTATCGAAAATGTTCGTTAACTATATATTGGCCTTTTTTTGTTTCACGGAGGCTCAGAAAGTGCCTATTAAGCGAAAAAAAAACAGGAACTCCTCCCAGTCCTGGCTTCAAAAATGCTTGGGTGAAGGGGCCAGTCAAGCTGTGACACGCAGATTTTTTCCCTTCACACGAAACCACTTATACATTGTGTTTTTTGTGTATTTTCCACGTGGTTAAGTGAACTCAAGCTTAAACCATGATACCACCGCTCGTGCTGTCAGCCCTGCACGCATGATCAACTGCCGAACTATTCATGCGCCCACTCCGCAGAGGGCGGGGTTGTATCTTTTTGCATCGATTAGAGCCAACATATGTACAATCTTTCACTAGCATTCTGGGCAGCGATATCGGACACTTCGATCGATCAAGATGTTATGAGGCTCAAGCATCTCGTCTCTGGGTGCGTGCACAATACACAACATAGTCGCCAGAAATTCTCAACGCCCTAAATAAGTTGCATGTGCTGCTGGGGCAGCCAGTTTGGAAAAATGTATTAAAATGAAGCAAATAGAAAATTGTCGTAGAAAAAAGGCATACACTAGTACAGTTGCAGACATAGACGTTCAGATGTATGGTCGGGTAGAGAGTGTTAGCAGTCATGACGGCGATACGAAGAGAAAAGTGGCCCCAAGTAGAAGTGTCAATCGAAATTCAAAAAAGAAAACCAAAAAGAAAGCCCTCGATGCTAGAGCGTGAAACCGCGACCTTGTGTGCTGATGCGCAGCGTAATTAAAATGGTCGTAATTGTCGAAAGGAAACAGGTCTGCGTCGTCTAATTCTTTTGTAGCATGCACCATCTAGCCCGAAAACAAGTTTTTTGTCATAATTCTGCGTGCATTGAATTCTGTTGGCAAACTGAAAATTTAGCTACAGAAAAACTGCTCCTGTTGTACTGCGCACGCGTTTGTGTGTGTGTGTGTGTGTGTGTGTGTGTGTGTGTGTGTGTGTGTGTGTGTGTGTGTGTGTGTGTGTGTGTGTGTGTGTGTGTGTGTGTGTGTGTGTGTGTGTGTGTGTGTGTGTGTGTGTGTGTGTGTGTGTGTGTGTGTGTGTGTGTGTGTTATCAGAAAATTCTTATTCCTAACTTCATTTCCTACAGCCTGACATTACGTGGTACAAAGATGGTAGACCCGTCAGCTCAACCATCGGAGACATCGTGGTGAGCACGACACCCGTTTCTCAAGAAGAAGTGACGACCACGCTAACCATCAGCAACGTGACCGTCGAAGATGCGGGAAAGTACTCTTGCGTCGCTACCAACTGCTGGGGGCGCGCCGAGAGCATTCAGGTCACCTTAGAAGTCAAAGGTAAGGGACGCACCGGCCTTTCTATACTTGGTGTCAGTACCAAACAAGGCTGATCAATCTTGGAGGCGGCATAATAGAAGGCATGGTTGGACCGGTATTCACAGTGTCATCGTGTCAGCCATTCAAGTTTTATACTCTGTCTCAGAAGTTCCCTTCAGCGCTGTGGAAGGCTACAGGGCCCCTCAGCCAATAAGAAGGGAGATTAGCCCCTCCACATGTGCTCCTCCACGCCATGTCGTCTGCTCGCCGTCTTCACGGCGTCTGCTCGCCAAATTGTTTATACGCACTCATTGAATATAAGGCTAGTTTAATAACTTAAAGACACAGTAAAACTGCGAAACAAGCAGTCACACCAGGAACTTGAAGTGTGTATTTGTTGCTCTGCTGAATATCGGTAGACGCTCATGCCGGCGGATAAGTTCACTTTGTGACTGCTTCTCTCCGACGCTTTTTCTGGCTCTCGTATAACTGCTTCTCTGTCGACGTGTCCGTTCGCGCCTCTCCCTGCAATGCTTCTTTTCTTTCTTTCTTTTTTGTTTTCGTCGAAGGATGATCCGACGCGCACGAAACGCTGTGCCATGTTGCATGTCTGTCGGAGATGCAGCGTTCTCGGTCTGGCGACGCAGCCCAAGCACTACCTCGGCGCGTTAGATGCGCCTGAGCAAGCAGCACATCTCGCTAATAACGACAGGGCGTACCTGATGTTTTATCCTCAGAGTACGATGAAACAAATAGATGGTGGATTTCATCATTAATTTGTTGCTGTTAGTGCACTGGGCAAGTAGCAAGAGCAAGTTCGAATCGAAGTGGGTGGTCGCTTCTGCATGGGTGCGGACATGTTGATTTGTAAACACAGTTACCAGCGGTGGCAAGCATAATTTCATGCGTACGAACTGAATGAGAAGAATAAACGTATCACATATCAATGTGGCGTAACACACATCAAACAAACGCCAATTTTAGTCAACCCGGTCAATAATAAGGCGCTTATTATACCTGGGACTAAGCTTTGCTACGCAAGTGTGTCGCCTTCTTACACCCTGTATCTTTGGTAGTGCTGAATCAAAGTGGTATAACAGAGTATAGTAGCAGCATATTTTTTCCCCGAAACGATACCCATGACGTCCAAACTATATTTATTCTTAGGTTCTTTCATGGTCTCGTGCCTAAAATAGTCCACGGAAATTATCAACGGCCAAAGCGTTTCTTTCGGCCCACAACAGCCTTCTAGATTTCAGAGAAGGCGTCCAGGACAAACACCGGCAGGAACGGGTACAGACCCCTATACATTAAACAGGCCCGAATGGCGCACCATAGTTGTCCCGGCGTGCTCGATAGCACGCTGCACAGAGTCGGTATAGGCTATTGTGTGACATATATGCCCACCAGGCGAAGTTCACCTTTAAGGGGCCAGTCAACAGGCTCCGAAACGCGCAGGAAAAGCTCGCGCATTTTTGCTGCGCGTGACCGACCTCCTTCCACGCGCAGTGACGTCGAATCGGCGATCGTTCACTTCATTGCTGTTTGTTGGGACCCGGTTTAGACCAGTCGACGAGCTGCGTGCTGCGTGACGTCGCCGATCGCCGAGTTCACGTCACTGCGCGTGGGAGGAGGTCGGTCACACGCAGGAAAAATGCGCGAGCTTTTCCTGCGCGTTTCGGAGCCTGTTGGTTTATACCCTTTAAAAACGCACGCTCTCTCGTTCGTGTCGAGATGCAGTGCTGCCACAAAGGAGGTCCACTAAATAATTTCATCTACTGCGAGTATAGCCATCACTTATTCATGTAAGACGAAAGTAATGTGAAAGTTATACATCAGGGAAGATAGTCTTTTTCAGTTGCACTGTTGGACAGCAGCCAGGCTGTTTCTCTGTTTTACGTAGATTATTCGCCATTCTGTTCCTTTTGTAAGAGCGCGATTTCTTTGCACAGTTAGAAAGTGGAGATAGTAGTAAATCTTTTTTTGCATATTTAGATGGTGCCATACTATTAGGAATCACTCACTCAGTGATGTGAATATGGGCTTTACCGTATGTATTTCAAGACAAAACAACGAAAAAAAAAACAAAGTTTGATCAACTTTAACCGGCCTTCTGTTTTTGTCGTTTGCTGCGACGATGGCAAAACACAACGACTGACCCGGTGCTGAATCTTGCAATAACTTGCGCCGCCATACAACACACCGTGAATAAAGTGCATTCATACATTGTACCTGCGGTCCATTCCTCACGTCAGCGAAGCCTCTTCTCGTGATACCTTCCCATTTCACTCTCCGTAAACTTGAGCCTGAAAGGAGTGAGATATTTATCACGATTGAAAAGCTGAGAGATCTGCCTGAATCAGCGTCCTCACCTGCTCAGCGTTTCTGATCGGGTCTGAAGAGTGTGCGATAGGAGTTGTTGAGGATGAAGGTCGAATTAAAAAAAAAAGCTCGATCGGGAGCTATTACACCGTCGCTATCATCGGATGCTTCGTGGCGGCTCTGTTTCACAGCGCAAACGATGCGCCAAGCTTTAAGCGCCGTTTACTATGGCGCGGATACATCAGTGTGTAATAAGCACAAACTGCGAAACAACCTGTATCCGTGCTGTTCTTTGCAGGAGGCAAGGAACCACCGCGGTTCATCGAACAGCTTGAACCTGTGGCGGCAACAGATGGCTCTCCTGCGATACTACGCTGTGTCGTAGTCGGCAGCTTGCCAATACACGTATGTCGCTTTACCACGGTCACCTTTGTTTCAATGCATGCATTTAGGCAGTACGTGCACACCTTATAGGCTATGCTTCAGACATCCACCCCAGAACAGCGGTGCTGTTGGCCCTAACGTATACGGACCGATTGGTAAATCATTCGTAGCTGAAACTGCACACGACGAGAAATTAAAGGAAGTATTGTCAAATATTCATAGTACGGCCTAACCAAGTGGTTCATGCTTGCCTAATTACCAGGCTGGCATTTCCATCAAGATTTTGCCCTTGCAGAACTGTTGTATTTTTTTTTCTTTTAAAGTGGCCATGGTTGAACGTGTTGTCATAACCAGTTAAGTCTGTCGCACAATAAAAAAAAATTCGGGGAAGATCCCACGTACCTGGGAATCGACGTTATGCGAAGCATGCGGTAGGAAGGTAACCGTGTTGTTGCAATTTTTTTTATTGAGCGACACGTCATGAAACGACGCTAAATATATGTACAAATGTTGCACGCACAGACATATGTTGAAAAGTTGCAGATGTTTATATAACCAGTTATTTGCAGTTGCGCAATGATGCCAACTGGAACATGCGTATTAGCAACACCAGAAGCTGATATGAAGAGTCGATGCTCGCGAGGATGCTAGCCCTGGGAACTGCAACATAAATCAACTTCAGCACATGGCAACTAACCACAATTGACGTTAACCTGACGTGACGGCTGTTTCAAAGGGGTACATATACAATGTTTAGAAAATTGGGTAGGCCGCACTGCAACCACTCTTGACGTTTCACGAATATTAGCGTCTATTTCAAAAGTATAGTTCCGAGACCTGGTGTAGCTCCGTGGTAAAGTGCTTCATTGCTGCGCAGAATGTTTCGGTTCGATTCCACATGGGACCCTGACATTTATTTTTTGCATTTGTGTTGTCGACGCTACCGATGTCGGGTATTTCTTAACGCTCGCACCTTAAAATTGTCCATGTGTGTTCTCGTCGTTCCTGAGTTGATACCAAGTGTCGATCGCCTGTGGCACATACCGGCATACCAGCGGCACATACCCACGGGTGGGTATGTGCCACTGTCTGATGAGTAGATAGATAGATAGATAGATAGATAGATAGATAGATAGATAGATAGATAGATAGATAGATAGATAGATAGATAGATAGATAGATAGATAGATAGATAGATAGATAGATAGATAGATAGATACGCTCAAAGTCGCCAAAGTTTGCGAAGAAATGCTTCGCATTTAATACCAAAAGTAAACAGCTGGCATTGCCAAGATTTGATTCACCCTCACTTTAGCCCACACGTTTGGTTACCACTTGCAGCGAACACGAATATTTTATTTCTTCGCGCAGAAGTCTATCAAGATCGCGTCGATATTTATCAGAAAAAAAAAGAAGTGCTTGATTTTACTATAAATATGCAGTACGGGTACAATTAGGTTTCTAATTCTAGTCAATTTTCGTGTGAAGAGAACAGACTACCTACAATACAACGCCTGCTCTTAGCGCATGTTAAAAACTCTGCTGGCACAACAGTGACAGTGTCAAGAGGGTTTCTTTCAGACAGTTCTTTTTTTGTTGTTATTCGTGAATGTCATTTTTTGTCGCTCGCGAATGACGTAATATGGTGGTAATGCACGCTGAGGGCCGATCCGGTCACTGGCGAAACACGAAATGGAGATTAATTGTTCTAGAAGGGCCACGTTATCCAAGCACAGGTTTTTGTTGTTGTCTTTTTAGCTGAGGAAGTTGAAGAAGCAACTCTGCGCCACTGCGGGACAAGTAACTTATAATGATATGCAGATAGCCTGCTGTCACATACATAGAGTCACCGAGGCTGTAATAAGGTTAGTGTATACCATGCAAAAAGGCAAACATGTAAAGCTGCAAGCGATCACGTGCGACCATAAAATCTACCTCAAACGTGCAGTGCCACCATGTGAAGCTTGCGATGTACACCAAGCAACCGACATTGATTGAATGTCCCAGCCAATGTTTCCATAAATAGTCACTCTCAGTGTGTTGTACAATGGTGACATTATAGCTGAAATAAAAATATAATCCGTCTGACATGATTCCGTCTCGATCAGTAATGTACCAACAACCAGGTAATCTATTTTACGGATTCGTATGAGTGCATCCATACAGGCCTGTTAACATCTGTGTTTGATATCCTTAACAACTAAACAAACAGGGTGTTATGGTAGACGCATACGCATGAAAACCGTTGGGTTGGTGCATACGATGTTCCATGGCTTTTATAAATCACGTCGCGATGTACAAAAACAGGAAAACATCGACTTAAGAGCCCAACATTGCGGCACCCAGATGCCTTACGGAAAATAGTCTCTAGACCTTTTCACAGATAGCTCCCTTGGCGCTCTCATAATTTTGTTGGGGCTGCGCTAAATAGAACTGAATTCCCGAAAACGTCAGCTTTTGTTCTCCCACGCACAGCATAGCATGGTGGTGGTTTTTTTTTCTAATTATTCTCGAAACACTCGCGATTCGGTTGAAGATGGCCCAACAACCTATGCTATCTTTCATTTTGTGCAGATCAAATGGTTTCAAAACAGACGCGAAGTCAAGGACACGAAAGACTTTCAAATGCACTACGATCCCCAAACTGGCCTGGTCTCGCTTACTATTCCGGAGATTTACCCGGACGACCAAGGCCTGTACACATGCCGAGCATTCAACGAGTACGGCCAAGACGAGACATCCGCGGCTGTCACTGTGGTCGGTAAGTAATAAAAATAGAAGGAAATATCAACCACGACGGGTACCGAATAACAGTAGACAAAAATAAACTGCATGAACTGTGCTGTGAAAAGAACTGGTTCCTTCCCTTCTATCGGGTGTTTCAATCATGAAAAACTTGATAACGCAGTGCGAGTGAGAATTGTGGACATTTTTTTTTAAGTTCACGTTACGTACAGGGCGAGCAGAGCTAACCCTTGTGTACTCACAACAGCTTCATTGCACGGTGTTCTCTGTTTCCTAGATGTGGAATTCTTCGGAGGAGTATCGGACGTGTCAGTGCAGCCGCGGTTCGTGCAGCCGCTTCGACCCATGGCTTACCCCGAGGGAGAGCCTGCGAGGCTAAGCGTGGAAGTTCACGCCGTCCCAAACCCTGATTTTTCCTGGTAAGGACGTGCACCTTTTTCTACCGTTCATGACGATGAGATTTTACCTCGAATGAGGGACGCGCGCCTGTGGTATGCAAACGTCCGATCATTTTCCAGGTTCTTTGAGGGAAAGATGTTGAAGTCATCCAGGGATTTCCTCGTCACGTCAGAAGGCCTCAGGAGTTCTCTTGTCATTGCCGAATTATTCCCCGAAGATGCTGGGCCTTACGAGTGCAGAGCTCAGAACACTGCGGGCCGAGCAACAACGTCCGCCAATCTTCGTGTCATACGTAAGTTCTTTTTTCTCTCTCTCTCTCTCTTATGTGTGCTTGCGCGCACGCACGCAAGATTCATGGCGAGGCATTCAGTTTCGTTTCACCTATTCATGTTGGTCAACCGATGTAAATTTGTGCTTATTGTAACGTTTCATTTTTCTTTGTTACATGATTTTGTAAGTTAATTCACCGCACCTTGCCGCTAGCTTACCTTAGCACTTTTTTCCAATAACTCTCAACAGAAGAACAGTCGCTGCCAACGTCACCGCTGAGCAAAGTGGGACCTTCAGCTGAGCCCTCAGAAATAAGACCAGAATCGCCACCCGAGAGCCTTACACAATTAAAGCCACCTTTCTTCACGAGAAACTTGGTCTCGCAAACTGTTGTTGAAGGGTCGCCAGTGACCTTCGTTGGAGAGGTTACATCTTTCCCTGAGGTTGTTTCATTCACTTGGTACCTGAATGGGAAAGCTATTAAGGTAAGTGACACCCTGCAGTACACATTTTTATACATTACTTTTTTTTCTTTTTTGAGCTACTCTTTGGCGTGTTGCGTGCCAATACTAATGACTTACACCCCATCTGTATTTCTTTCTTTTTGCGCAATACAGTCCTCCAGAGATTTTCAAATATATAACGAAGGAAACAGGACGACTCTCATGATCGCTGAAGTGTTCCCCGATGATGCGGGAACTTTCTCGGTGACAGCGGAAAACCCTGTTGGCATCGCAACTTCTAAGGCGAAGCTGACGGTGGAAGGTGAGGACAGTTGGAAAACGCGAGGAGTAGAGCGCGTATGAGAGATGCGCCGTTTTATCATTGCAGAAGAATCCGTCGAGGGTGCCGCGGTAGAAGCTCCGAGGTTCTTGACTGAGCTAACGCCAGTGACTGTGATGGATGGCGGCGAAGCTAAGCTCTCTGTTTACGTGAGTATTCGCTTGTGCACCTGATTTGACGTCAGTGCGACCTAATAACGATCGTAATATTATTGTTCTGCCAGGTCACGGGAAAGCCGCAGCCACGTGTGACCTGGCTGCACAACGACAGAGAAGTGAAAGAAAACTCAGATGTCTGGACAACGCAAAGGACCGATGGATACTGCGAACTATTCATCTCCGAAGCGTTTCCAGAGGATATGGGAGAATACATCTGCAAGGCGGTGAACATAGCCGGAACTGCCGTAACACGGACGCACATCAATGTGGAATGTAAGCAGTCTATAAACAAATCCTTTCCCATAAGGGACATTCTTTCGCCTGACGAGCTGCTTATCTCCTTCATCATACGCTCAGAAGTCGTTTTGCTGCACTGCACAATGTTTGGCGAAGTTTGTTTCATTTCAAGCGAAAGTTAAAATTTGATCACTCTATTGTGCAGTTTTTCTTAAAAAATGGTAATGTGCTAGAGCAAGTATCAAAATTTTCGAAGTTTCAATACGTGAAGTATCAAGTTTACAGCTTTCTAACTTGCTATTATTCGTACAGCTCGTTTACAGGTCGCCTCTCTAATGTTCTACACCTGTTGCACCTGTTAACTATTTCGACTTTAGTTTTTTTTTTTAATATGCTGCATTAAAGGTCAACTGCAAGGACATATGGGGCAGCGTAAAAGACGCATACGGGTTCAGATGACGTCGAGGAGCGACTGGGCGAAATTTGCCGTTCCAAATGCGAGCGGGATCATTACAGCAAGTTCGCAAAAATGGCTATTTTCGATGCTGAAATAAAGAAAACACCGCTCACCGGCAGAGACGCTGACACAGAACGTGTGGATCTTCGGCATGTCTTCATAGATAACGTGGCATCTGCGATCGGCAGTGATTTCCTGAAACATTTCGGAGTCAAGGTTTCATCAGTAGTACAGTAGGCCTATAACGCATCGTTCTGATGGTGATCCTCTTATATTGCTGACACTCGCCCACAAAGGCGGATCGGCCAAGAACTGGGCGACAGTATCTTTAAGTTAGCAGGTTATGCATTCAAAAGCATCCAATGAAATTGCAGTGAAAAACAAAACAAATCGTAAATTACGTATAAAAATACCACATGAGCTAGCGGTCAAGCAATCAGATAGTCTCGGAGCTGAAAATAGTAATGACAATATACTAAAAAGGTCATCTTTTTGTTTCTATTATGTACTAACTCACAGCAGAGCAAGCCTTCCTGTGGCTATAACGTAATGTAATCTTTTTGAGAATGAAGTGATGATGATGATGATGATGATGATGATGATGATGATGATGATGATGATGATGATGATGATGATGATGATCTAAACGAGTGGCTCACACGCACTCTGGGGGATCGGCCAAGAAACGATTATTTAGATAGTGGATCACATATTACTTTTAAATCTAATGAATTTTAAAATGGTTACATAGAATCAAGTTTTACTAATTGAGAGATTCGCGATCAAAACCGCCTTGATCCGATTAAGAATTTTCGTACAGCAGAACAGATATCTCAGTGACAATGACCCAATGAGGGGTCTCCCAAGGAGAGAATATTAGAAATTAGATCATCGTTCTCTTCTTTCTTTTTTGGTTTGTTTGTTTGCGCCAAATATGATGGTGCATCAGCTCGTTTCATTTGTGAGTTCATCATAAGTCCTCGGCAATTTTCAGATAAAACCGGTCAGCTCGTTTGAGAAGCGTTAGCGTGCGCGACTTGTGTACGCTGAGCGTTCACTGGTCTCTTCCCTTGCAGCGTACGAGTACGTCCCAGACTCTGAAGCCGCGTCGGCAACGTATGACACTCCCGGGACTGCGCCCACCCACGACCACACTCAGGAGGAATCGTACGACACGTTGGACACGATGCCCAGTGTCTCTGAGATGGACGAGTCCGACATGGAAAGGATACCGGATCTACCCAGGGACGACGGCAGGCCTCCCAGGATGCCAGGCGTACGTGTTCTCTCTATCCTCGCAGATGGTGCGAACGCGAATATGCACAACTTGAGAACCAAATAATCGAAACGGGCAGATTGTGGTAATACAGTTTTTTTTAACAATACAGCGTGCTCATCCCCACCCCACCCCCACCCTTGTTACAGGACAAGCACAAGCCTCGTAAATCTCATCATAAGCGAAGGAAAAAGACGGCGTCTCGTGGTTCCACAAGTGTGCCGAAGGAAGCCATTCCCTCGTGTTACGAGCCAGTACAACCCTGGGAGCGCGGGCGAAGGAAAACGTCGGACCCTGGCTCGGCACCTGTGGTGGTTGTACCTTTGGAGGATGTCATTGTACCTCTGGGCCAGCCAGCAACGTGAGTTACAGTGTGATTCACCAACACACAACTTTGGTGGGCTTTATACGTATAGAAATGCTGCTTGCGTCAATGCAAGCAGCTTTGTTATTTGCATTCTCTGAAAGTGTGGTGTGAGTGCCGCCACAGTAATTTTTTTTCTCAAATTGCTCTTGAGCCTTCTCAGTCTGCTCGTTTTTCTGTTTGTAATAGCATGGCAACAGCACATATGCCTCCTCGTTTTGTACTTATATGTAATTTTAATGCAGCAAAAAAAAAACAATGTCATTCAAACTAGCCTTCATGTAATCCTTATAGCAACCACAATTAAATCGTTGTGTGGTTGCGATTGTATGAATTCATTGCGAAGTAAATTCATATATGAAAGCTATATGCATGCTACTTCTTACCAAGCAACGCATACAAAAAAGGCATAATTGTAACTTACCAGGCCCAGATGCTGTAAACATGCATTTTTTTCTGTTCCGTTCTTTCTCACACGGCTCCCGTTTCGTCAGTGGTCAAAGTGACCCTCCACTAGCGTTGTCAATGCTACTAGCCGGCCAGGAGCGGTGGTTCATAAGGGGGGCGTCGAATGGAATGAAACAAACTTATAAAAACTATGGCCTAAATTATTGTACTTCAAGCAGCAGCGTTCTTGTTTTGTTTCGTTTTGTTTTATTCAGAGATCCAAAACTAAAAGGCACCTGCATTTTACTCTTCAGATTGGACTGCAAAGCTGTCGGGATGCCTAAACCAAAGATAACCTGGTACCGAAATGGAGTACCGATAAAACATTCCTTCGAGTACCAGCTTTACTATGACCCCCAGGGTATATCGTCTCTTACAATAGCACACACGGAGCTTGAAGACTTCGCCGAATATGTGGTGGAAGCGAAGAACCGCTACGGTATTGACACCACACGCGCGGAGCTAATACAGCTCGGTAAGTATGCAAACAACACATTGATTGATTGATTGATTGATTGATTGATTGATTGATTGATTGATTGATTGATTGATTGATTGATTGATTGATTGATTGATTTGTGAGGTTTAACGTCTCAAAACCACTATTTGATTATGAGAGACGCTGTAGTGGAGGGCTCCAGAAATTTTGACCACCTGGGGAAAAAACAACACAGTTTATCATGTTGTACCTCGTTGGTTCCCTAAAGTACGCGAGTTCGAGAGCCCGATGAAATCTCGCGTCGTCACGAGAAATCGTACGTATCCCGATCATTCTTCTCTCCGGGAAAATCAAAAACAGGAACCGAATTCAGTTTTTTTTTCTTTTTTCTTATGGGCTCTTTCCTATTTGTCAGCCGCCCTCAATAGTGATGTCTTCAGCCTCCATTGTGGCAGATTTTTTTTTCTTTCGAATAATGATCGAGCAATAAAATTTTGTGGATAGAAACAGAGACACCGACAGAAATGTGAAAAAAATTAAATTTTACTCATCGGCCTCCACACAGGAACCCTAATTACAACAGTACAAATATCGCTAAAGCCAACATGATCCGAAGACATAAAGCCTGCATTTCATGGCCCAACTTCACTGCTTTGCAAAGTGAATTGGTGCATCCATACTCGATGGTGTTCTTTGAGCACAATAAAATGGACTGTAATTGTGTTCCGGTCGGATAAAGCTGGATATCGAATCTATCAAACTTGCCTTATTCGACAAGGTGATATGCCGAGATTCTCTGCACATACAGACGAGGAAACAATGTGTGCCAATTATAAGGCACGTGACGTGCGGTGAGAACGTGACGTTTTTATAAAAAGTGGAAATATATAAGCATAAGATTTCTCGTCGCATGAGACTCTGCCAAAGTGTAGGCATCGGAAAATAGGAATAGACAACTCAACAAAAACAGTAAACTACATTCTTTATCAAGCCCTAGTTACCACATGTCTAAAGGTGGGACGCTTCAATGTTCTGGAGAACTTACGCCTCAGCCGAGGTACATATACGCGGGACGTGTGTTTCGCACTAACTCTTATAGGTAGATGAAGTCGTCAGCAGTAGAGTTACTGTATATGCTACATATGGAGCATATACAATAACTCTAGTCAGCAGCCATTTCATGCGACCTCTGGTGGAGACAAAATCTCGATAGATGTGTTTTTTTTTTCTGTCAACGCCTCCAGCTGGTGGTTCTTTACTACACAGCTGTTTCACGGACTCTTATTTGCCAGTCATTTAACATAAGTCTTGATGTAACGATATCCGATCGTAGCAGTTATAATGTGAAGTTGTGCTTATATATTTGTATAGCTTCTACATGGCGTGTACAGAACATGCATTTCCTTCTGCAAAATATTGTACTACGAAACTCCAAATTCTATGACAACAGGGCCTGCACACGAAATGTGCCTCTGTATCATTTTTTTTTCTTAATTTTCATTTTTGTTGCGTGTGCGCACGAGGGTAAAGCGGTGCCCGCGCTAATCATCTGAAAGGGCTGCCAAGTCTTGGTTTAGAGTGCAAAGTTTACACGCAAATTGTTGGCGGCCGAAGAGCGCTGATGCTGCGGGAGCTTCCCTCATTTGCCCCCTGAATGACCAAAGGGAGCAGTGGGAAGCACGTCATCGCTTCATTCTCCTTTTTGCATCCAGTGCGAAGCTTCTTCTCTTTCAAACACGGGTGCGACTTCACCTAGCGGGGAACCCTGGCATACGCTGTGTTCCCCATTTCGTGCGCCAATTTTCCACACTTGGTTTAACGAAAAACCTCTGATAACAAGGAAATGTTTTGAGTTTGCTGTCAATTTTGGGGGGCACAGGCACAGTCGTATGACGCCATTTTTTCATTGCAGACCTTAATTCCATGAGGCCCATGCGAAGAATACATAGAGCGGATCATCGCTTGAGTCTCGGTAAGAGCTACAGCTTGTGTTCTTCTTGGCCTTACCTAGTGTCACTTCTGGATGAGGCGGTCTGGGGAAATCGAGTAACTTCAATGATGAACACTTATTTTGCAGACTTTAAGAGCATGCGGCCGCGCTTCGAAGTGCCCTTGCAGAGCACGTACCACAAGCCTTTGGGATTTCCCGTGACGCTCGAGTGCACCGTACGCGGACGACCGAAGCCCACCGTTCAGTGGTTTCACAATGGCGTGTTGATAGAGCCGAGCTACATGCCTGTGTACAAGATAACACTCTTGAGCGACAAGAGCATGCTGCACATCAGCGAAATGATGCCAGCCACCGAAGGCCTCTATGTCTGCAAGGCTTCGAACGAAGCCGGCGAGAAGACCACCGAGTGCATTCTTCGCGCTGGAGGTAGGAGATATTCTCTCTGTGCAGCGACACTACTCAGTATTGAAATGTGTCGTACGCTCTGCTATGGGTTTCACTTTTCCTTCAAGACTGCACAAATCGCTGGCAAACTTCTGACCAGATATTCTCGGCAACTTGTCCGTGGTTGTTATTTCGTGCTTATTTCATATCAAAGCGTGCCACTATTGAAAGGTAGCGAAAGAGTGCAATAGTACGCCAAAAAGATCTGTCATTCGAAACGTGTATGCTGCAGCTAAGCCGGTCTTCTCATCTTATTATTTCCGGCACACGTTTGTGTTACAAATGCAGTGTGCAAACGCAGCCTACCCGCATGTACTGCTGATTTAGATAAAGCGAACTAGGTGCGAAAAATGGGCCTTATATGAAACCGGGGCTTTAATGACCTCAGATTGAACGCGATTGATTTGGCGTCTATTGTCACCGAAGCAAATGCATTTTGACTCGCTCAGTACAAAGCAAAAGAGTGTGAAATATTGTCTATGTACATCTGCCATTAAAAATTCATCCATGCATTTTAACGTCACACAAAAAAGAAATGGTCACCCCGTTTGTTGCGAAGTCAACGTGAGTATGCAAAATTATACAGATGATGATAATAATAACAAGCACTATTGTGAAGTACCACATTCTTTTGTAAAGTAACGCGCATTGTAGCCTGCCTTTCAGTCTAAAACACACTGAGAGAGAGAGAATAAGGATGGCAGGGAGGTTAACCATGGCTGAGCCCGGTAGGGGGGAAGGAGAATAAACGTTAGAGAGAGAAGGATGGTAAAGTCACTGTTGCCGTACCCGTAACGGCAGTTCTGCGCTTAACATCACAAACGGCGCGTATGTCCGATCGCTCTAATTAGAGCAGCGCATTCATTGCCATATGCAACTTCTATGCGCGGTCTCGTGCACTCAAAATTTTGTACACTCAAAGAAAAATCGAGTATTCGGGGAGTGTTTTTGCCACGCAACAATGATCGTCGTCTACTTCGAGTACTTTCCTCGCGTTACCATACGGTTCCGGTAGTTCGCGGTCGTGAACGGCGCGCGCATTATCAGTGTGACATAGCATTCCTGATAGGAAAGTGGCCAGCGCCCGGTATTTAAGAAAGGAAATGCGAGCAAGTCAAATGACGATTATTGTTGTGTAGCAGAAGTGCTCCCCGAATACCCAATTTTTTCTTAGAATGGTACGGTGGTGCAGCTAGTGTTTTCAAGCAGGCTCTTAGGCGGAACCTTTAGCTGCAATACCGGCTATTCAAATGCACGTTAAACGCTAAAATTCCTATAAACATGACAACCACTGGACAAACTTATCTATTTAAATACAAGTTTCATTCGAAGTTTGATTGACTTGAATAGTTGATATGGGGGGTTTAACGTCCCAAAACCACCATATGGTTATGAGAGACGCCGTAGTGGAGGGCTCCGCAAATTTTGACCACCTGGGGTTCTATAACGTGCACCCAAATCTGAGCACACGAGCCTACAACATTTGCGCTTCCATCAGAAATGCAGCCGCTGCAGCCGGGATTCCATCCCGTGACCTGCGGGTCAGCAGCCGAGTGCCCTATAGCAACTAGACCACCGCGGCGGGGCTTTCATTTGAAGTTTATTCACGCACATAGCGACTCAAGGAAGCCAGGTTTTTTCAGACCCAAAATGTTTTTCAAACGTTGCAGAAAATTGCTTAACTAAATAGATGGAAGCACGGAATTTACACATCCGCCACCTTGTACCTAAAACAGATATAGCACTTCAGTGAACTGCATCTTTGAAAGTATCTGAACTGAAAAAAAAACATTTATATATAAATTTACAGCCATCATCAATATGTGACAGTAATACACTACACTGTTCTTTTAGTCACATGTTAGCTTAGTATTTCACGGCGCGTTCATTTTCCTCGCGTTCAACTAATTGTTTAATAGGTCGTGGAAGTTCTCGCCATCTGGCCAAACTACGGAATGCAGCGTTGCCTCCAAACTCAAAAAACACTTATTAGCACAATAAAAAAAATCCATCAGCACTTGAACTCGCAACTCAAAGGCCTCACGCCCACCACACATACCATCAACCGTCTCGCCACGCCCTCGCAGGTTGCGGGATCGAATCGCGGCTGCGGCGGCTGCATTTCCGATGGAGGCGGAAATGTTGTAGGCCAGTGTTCTCAGATTTGGGTGGACGTTAAAGAACTCCAGGTGATTGAAATTTCCGGAGCCCTCCACTGCGTTGTCTCTCATAATCACATGGTGGTTTCGGGACGCTAAACTCCACATATCAATAAATCAAGCTCTCACCCGCCGGCCGTCCAACACTCACGCACATCTATAGTGTCGATTAATAGGGTATCTGTGGGAGGCGCGCACTCCCACCACGCAGCACTTGTAGTTATCAAGTGGCGCTGCGCGTGATACCCACAAGATACTACAGATTGCACAAGTGGGATATGTATATGTTTTCTTTATTGCGGAGTTAGAGAGCTTATGGCTTAACATTTAATTTCTTTTTCCATTCTGGGATTTGCAACGTTCAACAAAACGTGGCCTAAATGAAAAAAAAAAGTTATTTCTACCCTCGCTCTACAAATTTACTTCTAATGCAACAAACATAATCGAAATCTGTGCTGTTGTTGCCGAGAAATATTGAATTCTCCTGTTTTTGTGCGTGGAGATGAGAGCTCGCTAGCTGAAGGTTCTTCGCGAACATGAGAACCACTTACGAAAATTTTATGTTGTATGTGAGATCATTTCGTAAACCACGACGACAATACGGTCGTTTTACACATCTTAATTTTCGTGGGACCGACATTGCGTGTGTTGCAGTGATATGCGGTGACCACACGCGTGCATATCTTGCACCTTTACATAGACTCTGCAAATATAATATTCATTGACCATAAAAACTTTGACCATTTCAATACTTCTTTAATGAAGTTTCTTTAAAGTAGTAGTATGTTACGTTTCGTCATGTTCCCGGGCTGCAATTGTCGTGCTGTGATTTTCATTATTTCTTGCTTTTTATGTATCATTACAGTATGCTTTCCTCTGCAAACGAGTCACAAATAATATTAAAAAATGGTATTTTTTTTGGGGGGGGGCGTACTTAAGACTATCAAGTGTAAATGCGCTTCAATCTGTCCTTACCTCATACTTTCAAGAGTCCATACGCCACATTTGGTGATGCTTGTGTACCTGTTCTATTCTGCTTTTATTTTTTTTTCTTGCTGCTTTACTAATAATGGGACGAGCAGACAACTCTCTCGTGGTACTGTGTACTGCGATTAAAACAGTTAGTCTTCTATGCACCGCTACTTTGTGACGATGTTATAGTTGGAAGGGTGTACGTGGCCTTCAAACTGTCCAGAAAGATTTTTCACTACGTTGTCTTTCTGGGGATCTTATATGATATGCAAGCAAGAGTAGTTGATTCGCTAATAGCTGACATCCGTTGACAGCAACTAACTTATACGCTGGTCTTTCTTTTTAATTAAAGAACCTGAGGAACACAAGCCGGAAGAATTTCACCCACCACAAGAGGAAAAAGCTCACAAGATTCCTGCATTTCTTCAGTCTAAACAACCACGCAGGAAGCCGTCCGAGGACGAATACCAAAGCTTTGAGTCGGAGTCGGAGCTGAGCTTCAAGGAAACAATCGTTCCACAAATCCGCAAGCTGTCAAGGCCAAAAGGTAATCTGCACTCATATGATGCTATTTAAACCTCTAGCTTTGTTCTTCACTAAGATGGGCGCACGTAAAGAAATGTCGACTACATTTCGTTACGACTCCTTGAATCTGCGTGCGCCGAGCCGTTTTTCGCCTTCAGTCCGGATATAGTTTTACGGAATACGAGTCACGAACACTCTCAGATGCGGCTTTGTACTCGACGTTTTCCAGAGACCCCGCCCCCTGAAAAGCCGGAGAAGACGGCGAAAGAAAGTGCCATTGAATTCCTCACAACTGTTCTCAAGCCGACGTGGCCGTTCAGTATGTTTCGTTCCGCTTCGCCGAAGGAGGCACCGAAGGAGGAGGAACAGGCCGAGCTCGAGAGGCCGCCGAGTGCCGAGAGGCCGCCGAGCGTCGACAGGCCTCCGAGGCCGCCCGAACGGGAGCGGTTACCGAGTGCAGAAAGGCCTCCCAGGCCTGACAGGCCACCGAGCACAGAGAGGGCAAGGCCTGACAGGCCACCGAGCACAGAGAGAGCAAGGCCTGACAGGCCACCAAGCACAGAGAGGGCAAGACCAGGACGACCGCCAAGGGCTGAAATGCAAAGGGTCCCCAGGCCGGGAGAGCCCGCCGAAAGGCCCACCCTCACTGAACCTGTCCAACAAAAGGAGCCTCCGAGGCCGGAGTCTCCCTGGTTTCTTGAACCTGCGGAACCATACCAAACTGAAAGGCCCCCTGCGGACGAGGTGGATAGGTTGACTCCAAAGCCTGTGGAACCATACCAAACTGAAAGGCCCCCTGCCGACGAGATGGACAGATTGACTCCAAAAGGTGAAGAGATGGATGGGATGTCTCCATGAGTGGGCCTGTATTTATTATAATGCGCTCATTTCAGACGCTGGAAGACCACCAAGTGGGCGAAGGACACCTGAAGCACCAGAAGAATTCGTCAAGTGGAAGTCGGGACATCGTAGGACGTCTGAACCTGGAATGCCTCCCAAGTTCGTTGCTCCGATGGAGGACGTCGAAGTTCTCGTTGGATACCCTGCCACGTAAGCTACTCAACATCACTCTTTAATCTGTAGAAACTAAGTAGAATCGGGTGAAAAATTAGTTTGTTATATCAAATATTCATTGTAACAGCAGAGATGAAAGTCAGCCCTAACAAATCGGCAGAATGGCTTGGGCGAAAATCCCATTTTTATAAGCCTCAAACCTGCACTAAGCGAGGTAATCCTTACCTGCCTTCTCAACTTCCAGAACTTTCCCGTTCTGTTTGTACGGAACAAGACGATTTTGTTTAAAATTTGCACGAGGCAAACAAAACACGGTCACGATTCTTTTTTCTTTCGTCCATTTACTTCATTCTGCCGAACTAAAACTTTGAAATATTCTGCGTCTGTTTTGTTGCTTTTCGGGTTTCCTCCATGGTGCAAGCCGCGCTTCAACCACGCTTTCGAAAGCCATTCTTATCAAGTGGGTTAGTAAGTCTTAAGAGGCGAGTAGAAAAAGCGACGTATAACTGACAGAAGTGAATCGCTAATGAGCCGCGTAGCTTGCTCCTGCTTCTATATCACAATCAACTGTATAGATGCGCTGTCCCTTCGGATGTGCGATCGGCAAAAGAATCGCTTTCAATCAGCTTCTTCCGGGGGCGCTGCTTTACGATGTAGCTGGGAGTGCTGTCACGTGGTACTTTTCATATTCCGGGGGGGGGGGGGGGGGAATCGTTTATCATTCAGAAAACTGGTGACGCAATTCATACGTCGCTGAAAATAGAGCAGTTTGATGCCCCACGTAGTTGACTACAGCTATCTCATCGACGCTTCAACGATTAGAACAGTAGGTTTAGAGCTAGATATGTTTAATTAATTCACGTATTTATATGTAAATAACAAAAAATTACTATCAGCTAGTCCGCTGTACTAAGAACAATATGCAGTAGGTTTTTTTTTCGAGTAACACTGGCGTTTTTTTATTTTTTATTTTTTCAAATTGTGCTGCGAGTTAACTGGGACATCCTGTATATATAGCTCACCAGTTCGCCTTAGCTGTCCTACTTTTTTTTCAATGTGATTTGGTGCGCTTAGTGTCTTCTTATTTGCTATTGGTTTGTTTTTAGTGTTATGGTTATGGTATGCAGTATGACATCAGTTATCATGCCACTATAAGATTATTTTTCGCATAACATGTTTTTCCTTATACAAACCGTATCTTGTAATATACGATAGTCAGAAACCAAAGCGACGTACATAGTCTTCCTGCATCACGGCTGGCGTGTTTTTAGGCATCGGTGAATGCGGGGTTTTTGCCTGAGAGTCCAATATTGTCAAAATGCGGAAGAGATGTTTCTGATTTCATTAGATACCATAATGAGTTATATCGGTGACCCTGGTGCTCATAGGTGGCGCAAAAAAACACCGGGCTTCATGGGGGTCGACTGTCTCGTTTGAATTGCGAGCACTGTACTGATTTTTTATAACCCTCCTCTCTGTAATGTCACGGCTATGGATGGAGGTTAAATAACTAAATTTCTGATACGTATATTTTTTTTTTGGTAACAAATTCGAATCCTGCCCCGCCGCGGTGGTCTAGTGGCTAAGGTACTCGGCTGCTGACCCGTAGGTCGCGGGATCGAATCCCGGCTGCGGCGGCTGCATTCCCCATGGAGGCGGAAATGTTGTAGGCCCGTGTGCTCAGATTTGGGTGCACGTTAAAGAACTACAGGTGGTCGAAATTTGCGGAGCCCTCCACTACGGCGTCTCTTATAATCATAAGGTGGTTTTGGGACGTTAAACCCCACATATCAATCAATCAAACAAATTCGAATCCCCCTTTAATGACATCTTGTACGTGAATTCCAGAACGGTTGGAATTCACTTCGAATGGTCAGGACCTGTGTAACAACTTAACCTCCTTTGAAGGTTCTGCGGGGTATAGTTAGTTTTCCGAAATGATAACTGCATATTGTCTGTCTTTCTTATGGCGTTGCCTCATTCAAGTTGTTCTGTTTGCATGGCCTCGCGATTTCGCATCGATACTTTCAGCTAGATTACATGTCACCCTCACTGAACCTGTCCAACAAAAGGAGCCTCCGAGGCCGGAGTCTCCCTGGTTTCTTGAACCTGCGGAACCATACCATGTACTTTTAATCATGTGGTGGTTTTGGAACGTTAAACCACACATATCAATCAAAAATCACTCTTATCATCCCTCATTCACGGCCAGCTGGTCCCATGTTGATAGCGCGGTCGCTGCATTGCTCTCGCACTTACGAATGGTGAAAATCACGAAAAGGAACAGCATCAGAAAAAACAACTCTAACGGAATTGAGTCCCTACTTTGGACCTTTATACTGCTGCTCACGTATGTGAGGCAAGTACGAACAGTATTTCAAAAGCGCTGTTTATTTTGAAAGACAGTGGTGTTCTCTTCATATTCTTCGTCTCGTTGTCTGCGCTGTTTTGTCACAACGTTCATGAACCAACTGGCTTATTTAAGAACCCTCAGACAAATGGTATTTTTCGCAGTGTGTAGCTACAGGATTAATCCAGTCATACTTGCAGGCTCGACTGTCGAGCGGTTGGAGTTCCAAAGCCTAAAATAACGTGGTACAAACAAGGTCAGCCAATCAAGTATTCTCCTGAATGCAGCCTATACTACGACACTGAGGGCAACTGCTCCATCACTATCCACAGGTGAGTGTCCTTGTCAATATCACTCATAAAGGCGACACCTAACTAAACTTCTAAGGGACTACATACCTGGTGATGGTTCAGTTCAAGTTGTAGAAAGCCGCGCTTCAAGGAGGTGTTTTAAACGCCTCAGATTCGTACGCGCAATAATCCGCAATAAATCTTCCGGAAACATTTACAATTGCAACCGAGTGATGCCGCGCGTGATACTGCGAAAACTGGTTGGACACTAGAAATTCTTGTCAGCAAAGAAGCCCAAGTGAGTCGAAGGCCACTTCCATTCAGTGCTTCACGTCTCACTCTGCTTAAAGAAATACGGAACAAACTTCTTGCCGCCAAGATTTTCAGCCGAATAGAAAGATTGTACCATCAAATCGATAGAGACAACCTTAATACATGGCAGCTACTGCGGGAAAATAATGAATTTAATGGGTTTTTTAATGTGTCGAGTTCATGGCGGCCGCTCCCCCATCGGGGCCGGCAGCATATGGTGGTGGTAGTGGTTAGAAGATGAGAAAAGGCACCTATAATTTCTGCAACCCGGTCGGGAGCACGGCGCAGTGCCTACAGCATATGCAATGCTCCCGGCTAGGGTAAAGCATCAGCGCATTTGTGGAAGAGGGAGAGTGGGGTGAAAGGAGAGGTGGAGAAATGGAAAAGGAGGACAGAAACACGTGCGCCCTGCATGCGCCTCGGAATTCGTGACGTCACGACCCACGTGCGCGTGCAGCCGCCGCGCGTCGACAATTCATCAAAAATACAGCCAACTGTTCAAAAATACGGAAAATTAACTATGTTTATTGGAACAGTCGCATCTTCCGAGTATAATTTCGAAGTTTCGTCAGTTTTTTTCCATATTTGTTCAGTATCAAAGAAAGTAATGGGGGCAGGTATGCACACATGGCTTGTATGTATGTATGTATGTATGTATGTATGTATGTATGTATGTATGTATGTATGTATGTATGTATGTATGTATGTATGTATGTATGTATGTATGTATGTATGTATGTATGTATGTATGTATGTATGTATGTATGTATGTATGCGAGCGTGCGTGTGTAACTGTGCAAGTAATGCTGATCACCAAGCGAGGAGAAGGGCGTGAGGCGTAGAACAAGAGCCCCGTACATAGCCTACCTTCACTTGACGTGGACACTGCAACACATTCTGAGCATATACGTGAAATAACGCTGCCTGTGCATATTCAAGGCTTTTGTGAACGCATGAGTCAAATTTATATACTGTTCCGCGCTCAGGAATTTTGTAATTTCGTGTCTCTTTTTCCTAAGTGATTCTTAAAAGAAAGAAAAGAAGATAGAAGTGAGCCCAGTAAGGGCCATTCCACGCACTTCCCGCACAGCCGCATCGCACTTGCCGAAACCCCTCCCACACGCAAGCGGGGCCGACGCTGCCGAGGGTGAAAGAGCGTCGCCAATTGGCTTATTTGTCCCCCGCTTGCGTGCGGCAGGGGTCCCGGCACGTGCATTGCGGCTGTGCGGGAAGCGCGTGGAACGGCCCTAGTGCGGCACCTCAACAGTCGCTCACGATGGATGGGGGTAAGGAGGGATTAGAAGGAATTGGGATAGAGATGTGGACACCCGCACAAAAATGTAGTACAAAAAAAGGACAACGACAAGAACGTGTACACCACAAGCGCAAGTGGTGTACACGTTCTTGTCCTTTTCTTTTTTGCGCCATAATGAATCAGTACCTGCTCGCTCGCCTCTCCATTCAGCTGCATGTATTGTAGTGCACATAAATAAATGAGTGGGACCAAGACAATCATCATTAATTATTCTTCAACCATCCCACAATTAGGACAACGCCAGAGGACTTTGGTGACTTTGTCTGCGAAGCGAAGAACAGATACGGAACAGAGGTTACCGAGGCTGAACTCATTCAAATAGGTACGCTTTCAAGAATGTCGAATGTTGCGTTGTTTTGATTCATAGCATTGGAACCAATTTACAGATATGAAGTCAATGCTGCCAATGAGGAAGACCCCAAAGAAGGTTAATAAGCTGGATCTAGGTAATTACCTACTCGTCTGACACTGTGGAAATTCGCGAATTCGCGCGACAAACTGCTGAAAATATTTCACAACCTTGCTTTGCAGAGTTTGTGCCGATGAAACCGAGATTTGAGCAGCCTTTGCTAAGCGAAGTGCGAGCCCCACTTGGCATGCCAATCACTTTGGAATGCGTGGCGAGAGGACGTCCGCCGCCAGAAGTGCGGTGGTTCCACGAGGAAAAGCCCATACTTCCGGATGACACAGGCAAGTTTTAATACATAATCACTTTATTTATATTCTTTCCACTCGCACACTGACCTGCACTATCGGATCACTACAAACGCGAACAATTTCGGAACTTGTTCGATGCGTAGTTTAGTTTTCCGCACTTGTGGCACACGAGACGGCTGCAAAACGATTGCACTTTATGCGGACGGCGAGTACGCGTCGCAGTGCATTGTGGGAGGGCCTTTGTAAACTCGCGGCATCGCGCAATATTGTTTTCGATAAAGCCACGTTCAGTGTCGTGGCGGATTCGGTCAATCCACCGTCATGATCTGTAGTGGCGCTCGACTGCAGACGTCATGGCATCAAATCACGGTCGTGGTGGCCGCATTTTTTATGGAAGCGAAAACGCTTGTGCCCATGTACTTAGGTGCACGTTCAAGAGTCCGGGGGATATAAATTTCTGTACGCCTATACAGCGGCGTCCCTCTTGTGGCCTCATCATCAAAGTGTCGTTCTAAAATGTTAAGCGCCGACAATTACAATTAGGTCACGTTTAATGTGTTCCAACTGTAGTGGAGCATACGCACTAACGCGTATGCGCTTTCAAAAGAGAACGAAAAACCCCGTGCTCTGATTGCGCGAGAGCCTGTGCCGCCTTTGCCAGACTTGCCATACGCCCATTTTCCGTCGCGACCTCGTTGCGACTCTTCTGTTCGAATAAACATTATCGCATTTGGTGGAGGTGCTGGGTAGACATCTTTTTTCGTAATCTTGTTTAAGCGGCGATAGTCCACGCAAATTCGTACGGTGTCATCTTTTTTTCTTTACCATAACCACAGGTGATGACCAAGCGCTTTGAGAAGGCTGTATGACTCCACGTTTAAGCATGTCATCTACTTGCTCCGTAATGACGCGGCGCTTTTCGGTGGAAACGCGGTAAGGACGCTGTCACAGAGGTGAATGTGAGCCGGTGTTAATAGTATGAGTGATAGTCGTGGTGCGGCCCAAAGCAGGTTCTTGAAAGTCGAAAGAAGAACGAAACTTGTTAAGGAGAGCAACAAGTTGGCGGCGATGCGAGGCGGGAAGGTCTGCGTCAATAGCATTGTCGAAGGCTGACGAACTTGATGGCTCAGACGCATGAGTGATTGCAGCAATGTGACATGGCGTTTCGTCGGAAAGAATAATATCATCGATATGGTCGACAGGTTGCACATATCCTAACGTTTCACCACGAAGTAAGCCAATGGGGTAGTTGCAGTGGTTGGTAACCATTACGGTTAAACCATACGCAATTGTAAGAACAGCAAATGGGAGAACGATGCCCTTGTGTTCTGGTTTGCAGAGCAGAGGAGAGCGGTCGGGTGGTGGAAATTCACATGTTGGCACAAGGGACACTTCGGCACGGGAACAATCTATGATAGCTTCATGACGTGATAAGAAATCCCAACCCAGGATAAGGTCATGAGAACAAGATGGTAGAACAAAAAACTGTACGACGTACAAAACGTCTCGGATGACGACGCGCGCCGTACACACAGCCGAAGGATGAATTCGTTGCGCGCTAGCCGTGGACAGCACCATGCCACAGAGACATGTGGTCACTTTCTTCAGTTTCCTACAAAATTTTGCGTTCATCACGGAAACGGCGGCCCCGGTATCAATTAACGCTAATGTGGCGACTCCCTCAACATCGACATCAACAACATTTTGCGGCGAAAATGGAGGCCTTGGGAATTGCGTACAAGTTGCAGTTCTTGCCTCGGGAACTGCACTGATTAGTTTCCCTCCTCAGGAGGTGGTCGACGATGCATAGGCGATGGCGATCGGCGACGAGGTGATGGGAAACGAGCAGCCGATGGGTGGCGATCTGAGTCAGAGTGCCTCTGTTCATATGCAGATGTGGTGGTCTGTTGCGGTGCGTAGGTAGGAGCTCCGAAGTATGCGTGCGCAGGTGTGGGACGGCGGCGGCAGAAGCGTGCAATGTGGCCAGCGATGCCACACGCGAAGCAGATAGGACGATTGTCTCGGGTGCGCCACTCATTAGATGGACGGAAACAGCGAGGTGGGGGCCTGTAAATTGAGGCGAGGCCGGAGGAGGTGGAGCCGATAAGGTGACTGGATGCGGTGGGGGCCGCGCGACCACAGCTGCGTAGCTGAGAGGTGAAGGTGGCGCAGTTGGTGCGTAGCCGGCAGTTGAGAGATCAGATGGCACCGAAGTGCATGGGTAAGAGGCCGGAACTGTAGGGAGGGCATTGCAAATTTCAGTGCGTATGGCCTGCTGCATTTTCGAAGGGAGGCTTGTCGTGGGCGCGTCGCTATGCGGCAGCAGGGACAGCTGTCGGGCGACTTCCTCCCTGATGAAGTCTTTAATCTGGTTCGACAGAGTTCCTTGGTGAACGTTTCCATTTGCGAGTGCGACGGCCGAGATCGAATCTGGTGATGGGACACTCTGTCGGGCGATGGAACGCTGACAACGCAATTCATCGAAGCTCTGGCACAGGCTTACGAGGACTGCCACCGTGGTCGGGCTTTTCGCCAGTAACATCTTGAATGCGCCATCCTCGAGGCCCTTGAGAATATGTCGAATTTTCTCTTCTTCAGGCATGTATGAGTTAACACGCCTGCAGAGGTCGAACACATCCTCAATATAGCTAGTAAAGGTCTCGCCAGGCTGCTGGGCTCGGTGGCGCAGACGCTGGTCAGTGCGGAGCTTGTGGACCTCTGGTCGGCCGAACGCTTCGGTCACGAGGGTCTTAAAGGTGGACCAGTTGGCGATGGCGGTTTCGCGGTTGGTGAACCATAGCTTGGCGACGTCAGCCAAGTAAAAGATAACATAGGCAAGCTTAGAGTCGTTGTCCCATTTGTTGCTGGCACTTACGTGTTCGTACAAGGAGATCCAGTCTTCGACGTCTTGCTCACCACTGCCGCTGAAGATTGGTGGGTCCCGCTAACCAGTAGCGCCGGGGCAGGTCGACGGGGCAGCCAATGGTGCTGAGTGTGCTGGGATGGGCTGGTTGGCGACTGCGTCAGTCATGTTCTACGGTAGTCTTTCGGCCAACTTGCGAGAGCGGAGCTCCAGGTCTGCTTAGGGATCTCAGCAGCAGAATTACATCAACGAGCCCCTAACACAATCGCCAGACATGCGCCGTCGAGGTCGTGCGACCATACACGTCGACCGTCTCAAGCCCTACTACGACCCCCTCATTGTGCCTACTGCCTGAGTCGCCAGAATGGCTACTCTTCACCCCGGGGGTATTGTAGTGGAGCATACGCACTAACGCGTATGCGCCTTCAAAAGAGAACGAAAAACCCCGTGCTCTGATTGCGCGAGAAACTGTGCCGCCTTTGCCAGACTTGCCGTTCGCCCATTTTCCGTCGCGACCTCGTTGCGACTCCTCTGTTCGAATATTTTGTTCGAACATTGTTCGAACAAAATATTCGAAATGTTCGAACCATTGTTCGAACATTTTGTTGAGAGCGTCATGATTCGTCGCCGTTATCTACTGGAGCACAGTTTATAGGCGCCTGTTCCTTGATTGGGCGTTATTCCTCGTTACCCCGCACCATAACTGAGCCGATTGCGTGACCTTGCTTCGCTCTTACTTCTGTTTGCCGAGGCCGACTGGATTACGCAAAATCTGACCTGGCGAAAAAGAAAATAAGGATTTAATTAACTAAAATTAGCGAAGAAACATGAAACAAAATGAAGTTGCCCACACGTTGCCTAGTTCAGTGATGCAAGTTCATGCTCCCCTGCAGACGCGCGTTTTGCGGCCGCTGCTTGCCCCGGCCCGGTTCGCCAGTGAGACTCCCCGTTATTTACCGGCACGGAAGACCAGTACTACGAGGACTGACTGCCATCCTACGAAAAAGTCAGTGCACCCAACAGATAGGATGACGCAACTAATTTGAGCGCTGTGAACTTTTACCTCACCAACATGGCGAAGCTGTGGTATGCGAATCTGAGTTCGAGAACTGGTCTGCTTTCAAGCATTCAATAACCGCATTTTTCAGACGCCCTGCCGTACGGGAGTTTCGCGCCGAACAACGCCTGCGTACTCGGCCACAGGAGCCAGGTGAAACATAGTACCGCCCATATAGAGGACATCATCGACCTCTACAGGTGCGTCGATGCCTTCATGAGCGAGAGGGCTAAGCAGCATATTATGAAAGGCGTCAACAATTATGTTTTCCAGACGCTCTTCGCATAGTCTCCCAGCACTAAGTGGTAAGTAGCCCTGTGCCAGAGCTATGATGAACTGAAGAGGCAACGAGCTCTCGCGCGACGTTCATCTCCGATATGGTTCAACCCGTCACTGCGCTTGACGCCATGCCAGTCATACCTTGTCGCAAAAATGAAAAGCTTCGTGCGTGAGGATGTGGCTCGTAAGCTTTCTCTCCTCCATTTTGCTTTGCACCGGGAGCTCTCACAGCAAGCCACTGCGGCACCGAACTCCTTGGCTCCCGTGCTCCGACAAGTTATTCAAGAGCAGATTTCCGAGGTCTTGTCAGCCCTTTCAGCAGCACGCTGTGGCAGCGCCTCTTTCTTGCGCTGAGGCAGTAAAGAGGCACCATTGATTCAGCCGCATGGACTGCATGCTCCTATCGCTGCCACCGCCTCGACTCAGACGACAGCCACATGGGCTGCTCCCATCACTACAAATGCCTGGCGAACGCGCGACAACTATCCCATCTGTTTTGCATATGCGATGGCCCTGGCCATATCACCCGATACTGCCTTCCTCGTGTGCCAGTATACACAGACGCCCGTTCGAAGAATAACTAACTGCATGGACCGTCCCCCATCTCGTTATGAGGGCTCGGATGCTCAATGAAGCACGTCTTCACGTGACTCATCCGCAACCTACGTCTGGTCGCTCACCCTAATCCACCCCGTCGTCGACCAGCTCCTTCACTAATTAACTGATTATCCGCATAATTTGCGTTCATTATCATCATATAAATAGAGTCAGGCTTTCATTCACTTTCGCTCCGATAGACGCCAGTAAACTGAGCCGCGCGAACGTCACTTTTTT